GAATTCTCAATAGCCATGGCACTTTAAATATGTTTTGGCAGGATTAGAGTAAATTACCACAATACCAAGCGTGGGGCCCAGTATACCCATTCAGTTTTATTACTCATCAGGATCTTTACCAGCTTACCCTTAAATTTAAATTCTTTTAGGCAGGATTAGAATAAATTAATGTTTGATAACTTGGTATGGTTAAATACATCAATTGAAAGGGTTTGACCTCCTGAGTCTAAATCTCCAATCAATCAAATGATGATGGAGCTATGAGCTAAAAGTTTATACTTGAAAAAAACAAAAACTTGAAGCTGTTCTATGAGCCATTATGCCATAGCTAATAAAAATAAATAAAAACTAATTCACTGAATAAGCTTATCCCCTGATGAAGATAAGCTAAAAGAAAACTTTTTTATCACCCTTCTGTTGGAGACTTAAATATAGAATTTGTATCAGTGGAAGTTTCTTATAAAAACATTTTGATTTATTGGGTTTTTTTTTTTCCTATCAATTATTTTGGCCTGGTATCTAGTGCATTTAACTCGTAACCTGTAGGTTGCAGGATTGAAGCTTTGCACCAAGCATGCTTCCCATTTCAGCTGGAGGGCATTATAAAGTGAAGGTCCCTCTCATTATTCATTGGTAAAAGTTGCTTAAGAGTTGGCAGTAGATGCTTCTGGCTACTTGCCTTCCTTCTGGTTAGCAGATCAAAATTGAGGATGATAGCTTTAGTAGCTTTGCTATAAAGAACACAGGCAAACTTTCATTTGATGATTTTTTGCATACATCTTACTTTAGGTTATAATGTGCCATACTTGTAGTAAAATTATGAAAATTGTTTTATATAAGAAGCTGAAAACTTATCAGATCAGCATGTAAAGATATTAGTATACACTGGTTGTTGATTTTATTTAAATGTTTTTAATGCAAATGGTTATTGTTGTGCTCTTTGCATTTTCTTTCAGCTCCTTTGTCTTTAATCTTGTAATGGCAGTCGTATGTTTATATCAACACCCAGCTCTAAGTGTTGGAAGGACAAGACAAATCCTATGTTGCCTCCAACAGCAGAAGACACAAGCTGTTGTCACAAGCCTTCAAACAGAATATTGTTACTATGTGCAACTAAAAATAGGATGTGATAAATTAAATGCTGATCAACAGTCTCAACTTTTTTGGCTTCTTAACCCAGGCTTTGGTTCTAGTGTGTTCACTGAACCTAAACTTTCTGATAGAGAGCCAAATACCATTTTGATAGAAATTGGCCCTAGGTAAGCTAATGGTATTTATTCTTAACTTAGCAGTATGATAAACCAATGAAGCGCTTTGGATAATCAACAACCAGATATATTGTTGAACAGTAGTATTTGATATTGCTGTAATAAAAATTTTGTTTGATTATTTTATAATTATGTAATAAAGATTAAGACCATGAACAGTTATATATATTGTTTAATAGAATAGTTTTATTATAGTTCACATATCAGAGATATTTTGAAGAATGCATTGACAGGCCAACCAGAACATCCTACTAAGTTCCAATTGATTTTGCAGTCAATACCATGAAAATATTATTTACAATAATAATGTCAAAATGTTATAACAAAATTTAAGAACAACAAGGGACCTCTTGGTTCATCTAGGCCATCCCATCCACTAAATTAAACTAAACTTTAAAAAATAACAACTTGAAATCAACCTTTATCATTCAAATATTTATCAAGCTTTCCCTTGAACTTCCTGAAACTTAACTGCATGCACCACAAGTGAAGACAATCCATTTAAAAGGACAACCACTCTGTTATAAAAATAACTGTATTAGTTGAAAATGACCCCAAACTTGCCAAAATTTGTACTTGTTTTCCATAGTCCTACCATTTTCACCATTAATTACAAAAAAAAAGATGATGCATTGACACTATCAATAACATTAAAAGTCTTAAACACTTCAGTCAGACCTCCCAATTTTTCTTTTTTTTTCTAAGAGAACACAAAAATCTTAACCTGTCTTTTTATGACAACCTTTACATACCAGATATCCTCCTTCCTAACCCTTTTAAACAATTCAATATCCTTCCTAAGGTAATATACCCAAGACTGAACACAATACTCTAAATATAGCCTAACCATACAATGAATTTATTATCCCTGAAATTTGTAACCAAACCTCATTATTCCTGATCTCCATATATGGTAAAACGTCAAACTTAATTGAGCAATGATTATTTGTACCCAGATGTTACACAGTTTTCATCCTTTCAGCCATTTCTATATTAGAAGTTAACAATGAATCTAAAATAGCACTGTTCCTAGCAGGTTCCCTGACTAGTTGGTGAAGAAAACCATCCTAAATGAAATAGACACAGTTAATAAAAGGTTGGATAGGAGTAAACAATTTAGAACATAAGAACAACATAAGAGTTTACCCATCAAATTAAGCTACCCAATCTAGAGTAGCCCTTAGTACAATTGCAAGAGTTAAGGAGTAAGTTAAAAGGAAACTGAGATATCAAAAATGGCTTATGAAAAACAGTTGTCATATAGTGTTAAGTTAACACTAAGGCTTTCTTGAGATACATTATAGGTAAGCAGAATGTGAGAAAAGGAATTGGGCCTTTGAAGCCTAGGGGTACAGTATGTGTTTGTTCATAACTAGAATTGGAAAATTTTTAAATGATGTTTTCTCACTGGTTTTTCTCTAGGAAGATTTTGACTGGATTCCTGACATAGAGAATTTGTTTGTGCTAAATATTGTGGGAATATGTAATATGGATGTTAATCCAGAATTTCTTAGAAAAGAAACTTAAAACCTGATAATATTTAGCCTACAGTTTTAAAAGAGCCATTTGCTTTTATTTCTTGTAAGTTATTAGACAGGAGTCAGGTGCCAGAAGACTGGGGTGTACCTAATATTACTCCATTTTTCAGTGGGGGAGGGGGGGATAAGTATTGTTCAGGAATTCCAGGACACTTAATCCACTGGCAGGAAAATTTGAAGCTCCATCAACACTGGACTTTAGCAGTGTGAGCAAAAGGGCAGAGTGTCTTTCCACACCAGATGTGAATTGGAACCAATCCAAAACACTAGAAACAATCACAGGATCTGGCCTGTATATTTCTGAGTGATTCTGTGTATTCCTAGTGTCATCTCAAAGCATATACACTAGACATGAGCTATTCAATTTTATTATTAAATCAACTTACTACAGTCTCAACTTTGTTTGAAAAGCAAATGTTATTCTTTAGCCCTTTTTGTTTATTAACTTTTTACTGTTTAGTATTACATCATTCTTATTACTGTGCAAGGTAATTAAGCAACAGAGCTATAGTAACTTAATTATGTCAAGGATACTTCGAAGCAGTGATGATGCTACAGGGAGCATTTGCCAACCCAATTTTTTTCTTGCACCCAGTTTGCTTCACCCCCAAAGACTGCAAAGAGATTTGGTCAAATGGGAAATTAGGAAATCAAACATGTGTGTGTGGCTGAAAAAGTAACAGTAAGGATTTCTTTAAATACATTAAGGGTAAAAAATGTTAGGATGAGAGTAGGACCTCTAAGGGAAAACAAAGGAAGACTCGTTTTCTTAATGATTATGACATGACTCACTTACTAAATTCTACTTTTTCTTCAATTTTTACTAATGCAGGTTTAAGCAATATTTCTAATCCTGAACAGTTAGGAGAATAAAAAAAAAAAAAGATAGAATAAGATGATCACATAAATTCTGAGCTTATTAAGAAAAAAAATTAGAAATTTGAAAAATGATGACTCCTGGGCCAGATGATATTTCCTCAAGGGTTTTGAAGGAAGTTAAGGATTGGGTAAGTGAGCTGCTTGTTATTATTTTTTCTGAGTTATTGAACAGTGGATTGGTGCCACAAGATTGGAAGTTGACTAGGATTATGCCTTTCTTCAAGAAAGGTGATAAAATATTGTCCTAGTAATTATAGGCCTATTAGTCTTACATCAGTGGTGGGAAAGGTTTTTGGAAGTCTGATAAAAAGTACTGTGCAATCATTTAACAAAGCTTAAAACTGTTTTGGATGGTTATCATGATTTCCTCAGGAGAAAATCTTACCTTACTAATCTTTTAACATATTTTGAAGAGATTAATACTTATGTAGATGAGGGTATGGGTGTGGATTTCTTGTATTTGGATTTTAATAAAGCCTTTGACAAGATGCCGCATAAAAAAGTCTTGTTAAACAAAAGATCTTGAAGAGCATAAGTTGGCTTATTGGGTAGATAAGTGGCTGGATGGAAAAATACAGGGGATTGTTATAAATGGAGTTCATTCAAACTTTGTTAATGTCCTAACAACAAGAGAACAACTTTAAGTTTCCAACTGGAAGGAGTAGAGAACAAAGAGGGTGAAGAATCAGGAAAGAACTCCAACAAAAAAAGCTATCCAAATCGTCTCAATCTTGCTCAGTTTCACGAAACAAAGGAATGTCAGGTCTGGGCTTGGAAGACACAGCTGGCCACAGGATGAATCCTAATTGCCATTGAAAAACCACAACCATAACAGCCAAAAATGTAAGGCCTGTAACCTGAGAAACAGCAAGTTAACATGTTATAGTATTTGTCAGTGAAGTAGCGTTAGTGAAAGAAAATTCAGAATTCATATTCAACTGGAGTGAAGTTTGAAATAAAGAAACTACAGTGAGATTATCACTGTATAAAATGAAACAAAAATTAACTAAGTTGTTTAATAAACAAAAATAATTAAGTGCAAAAAATTATAAACGTAAATTAAAGTAAAAGCACAAGCAAAAATTAACATGTTGGAACACTATTGGGCCAAATCAAGAAATGGAAATTGAGTTCTGCAGTGTAGAGGGAGCCAGCTGCAGCAGGAGAGTGTGTTGCACTCTTATTGGTGGAGGGTTGTCACATTCTTATTTGTATGCTACAACACAGCTGAACCACATAAAAACTTGGGGAAGATGGGAGTTTCAAGGTTAGTGGCAAGTGAAAATATTTGCACATATAGAGGGCAGAACTGAATAAAAAAAAAAAACCTATTATGTTGGAGAAGGTAAGTATCTATTGGAAATATATTTCATTGTAGGGAAATATTAATTTTTTATGGTTTTGTGTATTCATCCCTACTTTGTTTCAGTACTTTATGGCATCGTCATCCCTATACATACCAAATTTTTTGCAATATTTTTAAAAATAATTTTATTGAAGTAGGTTGATAAGTGAACATTTGTTTTATTTTTATAATTCAATGGTAATATATATATATATTGTTAATATCATATCAGTTTTGTCAGTTTCTTCATTGCACTTACAGAATGATCTCAGATACTGATATTATACAATATAATGGACTAAAATAAGTTATTAATCATCGCTAGTCATAATCTTGACTACTTGGGACTTAATGTTGAGGAACCCACAATAAGGAAAGAACATATGAAAAATGTATAGCTCTATCATCCCTATATTCATGTTTGCATTCTTTTTAGCACTGCCATCCCTACATCATTTATAAAATGTTTTTCATTACTTGTTTTGTGACATTTTACCCCTGACTGAAACTTAGTGTATTCTATGAATGTTTATAATAAAATTTAATGTGTATTGACTTTTTTTTTACTCCTTCACTTCATACATGCTATAGGGGTTGCCTCTCTAAAGACACCAATTGTATAGTACACAAAGCATTGAGTATTCTACATGTTATAGTCATCTAATGTTAATTTATTATTGGTTAGTAATTCCTGTTTCACCCTGTACTTAAGCTTTTTAAAGGAACACCATATTTCTGTAAAAAAAAAGCTAACATCGAGGGGTAATAATAACATCATTTACACTAGAATTATAATGTTTTTTAGTTTATACTAAGCACTACCATGCTTAGTGATAGCCTGTTCCCAAGTAGTCTTAAAATGCTTTTCTGTTGTACTAAAACCATTGCAAAAACTTCACACATTTTGTTGGCTAGCATGGGAAAAGAAAAGTGAAAGATGAGCTCTTTGACTGTTTAGCTAGTACACAGTTCTCCACTTTAACAACACTTTTCAATGATATTAGGAGACTCGCAAGCTGTGAAACACTCGATAATGGTAATTAGGTGCTCAAATAAGGCTATAACCCAACTTTAGTAGGTATTTGTAAGCCTCAGAGAGTAATAGATTGAATTAGGTAGTCATTCTTTCTTGGCCCATCCCTTCATACTAAGCACTACTTTGCTTAGTGACAACAGGGTAGTTGGACTTTGAAATGGGTTGCCTTCAGATGTGGTGGGTACAATAAATTTAAGTGAATTTTTTTTTTTGCTATAGTGGATGGGATAGCATAGATGGACCAGTTGGTCCCTTTTTGTCTTTAAATTTTATTAATATGTAGTCCAACACATTCTTAATAATTGAAACAAACAGAAAAGGCATGAATATGTCTGGATCTGAGTTGCAAGAGCTTATAAATTTATATCTGTTCACTTTTTATTTTGAACATTTTCTATAAAATTAGATAGATCACTTGTAAGCACATTATTCAAGCTGCTTAGACTTTCTAAAACATTTGAACCATGTATTTTCTATAAAACAAATTATATTTTTTAAGGGTCTTTTTGTTTTTGAAACTTCTTAATTGAGGTATCACTTTATACTTTAGTAGCTTGTTTATGTACCAGTTCTTATTGATATACATATCTAGGCATGAAACGGCATACAGCATTTATCATGAGGCCTTAGTTTCTTGGCTTTTAGTTTAATTACTCAGCTTCTTTTAAGCATTTGCTTATTATTATATACCTAACATAATGTCTTTTTTTTTTCCCCACAGTTACTGGGTTTCTTTTGTTCAGGAGGAAACTAGTTTCCAAATTTACATACCTTAAGTATTGAATATCCCTTTTTTTTATACTGGGATTAACCAAAACTCTTCTTCGTGGTCTTACCCACTCATTGAGAAATTCTCCAGGCTTTCTAAATTAAAGAAACACTCTCTACAGTATCATTCTTTCCCTGAATTTTAGTATTGCCAGATAATTTGCAAAAATATAACTGTTCCAGTGCAGTAGTTATCCATATTATGACATTACTAACAAAGAAAAGTTCACAAACAGAAGTCATTAAGTAGTGTGTATAAACAAGTTACTAGTCATCAAAGCCACATCTCCCAGGTAGTTGGAAGTAAAAAAAAAATACTTTAAGGTTTATAATAGGTGCTGAATGCTGGGTAAATCATCCATTCACCATGGCTAATTGCAGCTCATTTACCTGAATACTTTTGTTATGTATATGCTCCTACTACCAGCTGTTTTTGTTGTTGTGTTTTTATCATGGAAGAACTCTGTCACCAGAATTACATTAACTGCAACCTTTTTTCACTTCTCTTCACTTTAAGAAGCTGTTTTGAAATAATTTTGAAACCAATTCTGATAGTCGTGAGTGAGCAAGAGGTGAAAAAACTATAAAAGATGTTGTATGACAATATATTCCCACTGTATAGTTAGTGGTATGTGTTTAGTATCCATTCTCTGCATCTCTGTATGTTACAAAATATGATCATACTGTTAAGGATTAAATAAGTAAACTGCAACACATAAAAGAAACAAATATGTTCATATTTACTGATTTGTTTTGTCTACTTTAGAGACATCATCAGAGGACAAAGTAATGGTACTTATAAAAGAAAACAACAGTGCAAAAAAAAACTGGAGTATTAAACTTCTGTAGTACTTCAAATAAAGCTAAACATGTAAATATATAATGTATATTCATACATCTATTATCTTTTCATGCTCTAATATTTGTTCGTATTCTTCAAAAAAGTCCAGAAAATGCAGGAAAATATTGTTTTCATACTCTTAATTTTCAAAATTTTCCTTCAGGAGATTGTGTTTTTGGCCTGAGTTTCACCTAACACCAATATGGGTGCTTGCCTTTAGTAATACCACCCACCTACTCTCAAAGATAATGAAAACCCTGTGTCTAACGTTTTTGAAGGGAGTTTAAAAACTCGTTTGGTGCTGATTTCAGTACAGTTAAATGCTAATTTAAGAAAATAAACATGTTATGTCATATCTGTTCTTTTTTAATCTGCTGATGAAAGTTTACCTTAGTTCATCTTTTCAGTTCATTTAGGTTTGAATCAGAATTAATATTACTCAGTTATCATTATCTTCATTACACCCAGGGAAACAACAGTGATATATATAAATATAGTTGTAAAACTGTTCAATTAAATGAACTATTAAAGAAAAGAGAGAGAGAAGGAAAGAAAGACTTCTATAGAGATGAGACAGAGGAATAGAATATTTAAGTTCTGGTTATTTTGCTCTTGCATGGTGTAACATGTTTGTTCCTCTAAATACAGTGCTTTCATCATATGAGAGCTCAAGTGTAGTACACCAATGAGTAAAAGTAATCTAAAAATGCCTTTCCCCATATACTGATCAGTTGTTGGTTAACACCCAAGAGAACTTGGAACAAATAAAAAAAAAAATTAAGTTTGCCTAATAGATATGCTTTTAGTTCATAAAATTGCTCACAGTGCTACAATTCATTGTCTAGAATTTTCCTGAAAAAGATCTAAATAAAAATCACCAGTAGAATATTTTTAAATTAGAAAGTGTTTTGTATTAAGTCATCTCGATAAAGACCAAATCTATGAATGGTCTAATATCCTTATTCTTTAGGGTAGAGACATTATTTAAATAGTGATTTTGTAAAGTCCCAAATAATTGCTTTAAATCATCAGAGATAGAGAAAAGAAGGATATCATGCTAATGAGATTCAGTGATTTTAATCTTTAGACTATATAAGCTTAATGTTGAGAGAATGTCTTTAAAGCTTTTTAATTTAATTGAAGACAAATGTAGTTAAATAATCACAAATTTCTATAATATCTATAGTGATAGAAGTTGTTTCTTTGCTATGAAGCACCATGTAAATACTTGTAAAAGATAATCATTAATGATAAATAAAATTAACAACCATTTGAATTTTAAGTATAAACAAATCTGGAATTGTATAACTTGTCTGCTCTTATTTTTTATACAATATTTTACAAATTATATAGGCTGAACTTCTCAACTCCCTTCTCAACAAATGCTGTTTCTATATGCCATGCTGTTGGATTAACCAGTGTTGTAAGGATTGAACGATCCATCCAATACCTCATTTCCTTTCAACCGTTAGCAGACTGTTATCTATCAGCAGAAGATACAAAACAGGTTAACAGTATATCAAACTAATACCAAACATCTTAAATCAATATATTAAAATGGAGTAGAATTAAGTTTTGAAAATCAAACTGTAAAATCTGCATGGAATTGTTGACCAGACACACTTATGTTGGGCTTCAACATGAAAACAAATCAGTAGAGAATTGATGACAATGGGAAAGATAATGAAGCCCTAATTACTTTACTCTGTACGAGAAAACAAGAGCAAAATTTGCATCCATTAGACTTTATAAATGTGTATTCTTGCGACTAAGCTTTTCTTTTACATCTAATGTCAAGATATTTAATGTAAAATTGTATTTAACTACTGCATAATATAACTTTACTTTCAGTGACATGACTGTATACTGTTTGTTTAATTAATAGTTCATTATAACTGATTTTAAGATTTATTCAAATTTTATTTAATTTTTATTGTACTTTTATTACAAAGTATCTAGATTATTTTCAAAATGTTTTTGAAATGCTACTTATATGTCTACTGTTATGACATTATAAAGTATTAAAAACTTAACCCTGTTTAGCCAATTGTGCATTAAAATAATATAACACAAAAGAATGACTGCAGATTGACAAGGTTTTGCTTTCATTATTATATTTTGTAAGCTGTATTTAAGTACTGGGAATTATTTATTAAATGTATTTGATTGTAGAGTTTACATGCATTTTAATATAAATGTTTTAGAATTTTAAAGAACTCTGTTATACAACCAATATAGTTCACAGTGGTTGTGTTTCCATAAAAAGATACATATAAAAGTTCTTAACTTTAAGTTCTTTGTGAGATAATGTATGTACAAACAGTTGGTGATTGTCTGGTTTTACTTAGATTATTTTTGTTTTCTTACTTCATGGTTTGTTGAAAGATTTTTGACAGTCTTTTTTTCTTGATATATTTAATAAATAATGGGATGGAACTACCTGATACCCATATTTTAGGTCATCAAGAAATTAATGTAGCTTTTTTTAGATGAAAAAACCTGAACAACTTG